GTGCTGCGCTGCTTTCATATTTTTCTATGAGATGGTTCCTATTAGTTTGGAAACTTTTCAGATGGAAAGGCATGAAACATCAAAGAAAAACAGCAACAGCCTTCAAGGCCAGAGAGGAGGGAGAGACCAGACAGGATGGGAAGGATGGGTGTCTTACCTACAGGACACCACGGCCACCGCAGCCACCACAGCCACCACCACGGCCACCACGGCCACCACAACCACAGCAATCCATGCTGTCAGTAGGGAAGACTCGAATGAAGTGAGGAGAGAGGTTTCAGGAGAGGTGAGGGGAGTCGATGCCTCCTTCTACTGGGGGAGGCCCTTATGTTCCATCTTGGGAAAAGGAAGAGGGAGTGACCCATGACACATGACCAGTGATCACTTCCTTCTTGTTGCTACTGCAGTTTCCATGATAAGGTTATCTGGGACTATTCCTTGTTTACATCCTTAAGGACTATCTTTGACCCAAAACATTTACTAATTTTCACTTGTCTCTGTTAAAACCAGATTACAAGCAAGCCAAGAGATGCTAACATGTAGGAGAGGCTCTTCATTTTCTCAGAACCAGTTGAATCCTTGAGACTTCAGGTTAAGCCGGGACTCAAGGTTGCTGCAAGCTGCTTTTCCATCTCTCTGCAATGGCTTCTCTCCAGGAAATCACCCTGCTTTCATGGAAATTCCCGAGATGGAAAAGGGTAAATAAGAGCATCCAAATGGAACACGAAGTTTTTATAAAAATGCTCACTTCTCAGCTCTATTTCTGAAGGGCTCTTTATAGTAAATGACTTTTGTTTCTTTTTTGTTACCCCTCACAATTGCCTGTGATAAGGATTGAAGCAACACCCCCTTCCCTTCTCACTCTGTCCTCCCTCCCTGAGAGCTCACATTCCCACCCAGGGTGTGGATTTCCTCCTGTGTATCCCTGGGTTAGTTCCTCCACCGGTGTCTCCAGCTCAGACTCTCCTGCGGACTCCAAATCCATCAATCACCACTCTCCATTCCATCTTCTCCCATTATGGTTTCAGAGACACCTCCAACGTCACATACTCCAGACTCAAGTCATAATCTTCCCTGCCTGATCACCAACTCTCCATCAGAAAAAAAACTGCATTTTCCTCCACTGTGCCATATCCATCAAGATATGAACCCATGTTAAAAACTGTCTTTGAATCTTTATTTTTTTGAGATGGAGCCTCTGTCGCCAGGCTGGAGTACAGTGGCACAATCTCAGCTCATTGCAACCTCCGCCTCCCTGGTTCAAGCGATTCTCCTGCCTCAGCTTCCCGAGTAGCTGGGACTACAGGCATGCACCACCATGCCTGTATTTTCAGTAGAGACTGGGTTTTGTATTTTCAGTACAGACCGGCTTTCACCATGCTGGCCAGGATGGTCTTGATCTGCTGACCTTGTGATATGCCTCCCTTGTCCTTCCAAAGTTCTGGGATTACAGGTGTGAGCCACCACACCTGGCCTGAATCTTTCTTTTCTCAGTTCCATTTCTAGTCTTTCACCAAATTCTGTTGCTTCTGCCATGTTAATAACTTCAAACCTATTCACATATCTCTAGCTCCACTGTGCCCGTCACCCCAGTTCATGCAACTCTCTGACAAGTTGAAAATGCTCTCTTTAGTCCAAAGACCACACTGACCACTTGGGGTCATTAATAAACAATTGTAATCAGTCATAGGGACGTAATAGCGCTTTCTCTTCCTCAAATTTCTGAAGAGCAATTTTACCGAGTTGGGAAAACAGGCTTTTGAGTTTGTTACAAATGAAGCCTGGGCAGAGATGCTGACTACTGTCTACTGAGCGCTGACTAATCACCAGAAGCCTCTCCATCAGCAGGCGTGGAGAAGACCTTGCTTGCACTCAAATTTTTCTTGCCTTTTTTACAGGCTCCTGTTGGTCACAAACTCTCAAACCCCACCACGATCCACAGCCACAGGCTTCTTCTTAAAGCCATAAACTCCTTTCCTTCCCATGTTGGGCCTTCATTCGGCTCAGCAAGCCTCTGACCTCTGGACCATACATCCCTCAATGTTCCCACCCTGCACTCTCTAAATAGCCCTAGAGCCTGCCTCTAGGGAGCCCAGGCCAGGCTATTAAGCAGATTTGTTTATCTCAGCCATCAACTGACATCACCTAATCAAAGACAAAAATGAATTCCTGGCTGGGCGAGGTGGCTCACTCCTGTCATCCCAGCACTTCGGGAGGCTGAGGCAGGAGGATTGCCTGAACTTAGGAGTTCGAGACCAGCCTGGCCAACGTGGCGAAACTCTGTCTCTACTAAAAATACAAAAATCAGGCAGGCATGGTGATACATGCCCGTAATCCCTGCTACTCGAGAGGCTGAGGCAGGAGGATAGCTTGAAACTGGTAGGTGGAGGCTACATCAACCAGACCAAGAATTACGTCACCAGAATGCAGACTCCTGAGATGACTGATTTCTGCTTTTGAAATAACCACTAAGACCTGGTGTACAGAAGACAAATCACAATGATGTGCCTCAAATAAGGAGAGAAGGCAGCCCCAGCGCCTTCACTGGCTTATAAATGGGATGATGGCCTCTGACTTTGGCAGTGACCTTTGAATCTGTGGCCATTTCACCTCCCAGCTTGCAGTGTTACTCACTATTGCAAGCCCTTTGAAGTCAGGGACTGTGCCTTCCATATCACTGTACCTATTACTGAGAAGCGCTCAGATTGTTCAGTCCAGGGGCTGCCTGGTGCTGTGTGGGGTTTGTAAGCCCTGCCAACAACTCATGGACCTGTGCCCATGGCACTTATTCCCCAGACCTCTTAGGAAGAAGGAGAAGGCTGTCATTACTATGGTTACCATGAACCAGACCAAGAATTACATCACCACACTCCAGCTCTCAGAATGCTTCCCTGGAACTTTCAGGCCTTTTTAACTTATGGTTTTATGAGAAAAAAATAAACAAAACCAAAAATGTAGTGAAAACAAAGATGTCTAAAAGGATGGCCAATATGAGATGGAGAGATTCTTCCGTGTACGTCAAGTCAAATGACAACAAGGAAGTGGTCATGTGTCTTCCCCCTCCTCTCCCCAGAGTTGGTATATAAGGGCCTCCCCCAGCAGAAGGAAGCATCAGACCTCCTCACCTTCTCCTGAGTCCTCCCTTCTCACTTCATCTGCATCCTCTCTACTGACACCATGGGTTGCTGTGGTTGTGGTGGCTGTGGTGGTGGCTGCGGTGGCTGTGGTGGCTGTGGTGGCGGCTGTGGTGGCGGCTGTGGTGGCTGTGGTGGTGGCTGTGGTGGTGGCTGTGGCAGCTGCACCACCTGCAGGTGTTACCGGGTGGGCTGCTGCTCCAGCTGCTGCCCCTGCTGCCGCGGCTGCTGTGGGGGCTGCTGCAGCACGCCCGTGATCTGCTGCTGCCGCCGCACCTGCAGCTCGTGTGGCTGCGGCTGTGGGAAGGGCTGTTGCCAGCAGAAGGGATGCTGCCAGCAAAAGTGCTGCTGCCAGAAGCAATGCTGCTGCTAGGCGGGCCCCAGCCTCTGGCAGCTGCTGCAGGTCACTGCTGTAGGTAAGCTTTCACCATCTGTCTGCCATTGACTAATAGGACACAAGCATGGCCTGAACCTGTCACCTGCCCGTGAGTATTTCACATTTCTATAGTTTTTGGGATTCTGCCTGCATTTAATCATCACCAACAGAAGTAGTAACCATGCAGCCTTCTATGTGGATTACAATTCAAGTCATGACCTCAACAAAATGGAGTCAAGGCAGTTAATGTTAGACCTTCCTGAAATGCCTCTAAGGTTGCCTTCATTGATGTGCTGTTTTTACCACTGCCTAGGTATATTTGAATACACAAAGCAACACCTATCTTAATAAATTATACTAAATCATTCTCAAAGAGCTGTCTTTTTTGTTCTTTCCAGTCTCTAAATTGTCTGTCCATGGGGAAAAAATGAGTTTTATCTCAAAAGATAAATCAAAGAATAAAAAATAATATAAATTGTTTACGATAGACACACAGATTCGTGGATGATTAATCCATTGTGGGTTTTGTAAAGAATGAAGGGACTAGGGCACATCCTCAGCCTGACACTTCGTTTATCATAAACCAAAACTTTCCCCAAATTTCTCTTGTCAGAGTCTTAGAAACAGAAGTCTGGAGTCAGAAATACCTGTTCAGACTCCAAATGGTCATACTATCATTTAGAAGCCTGATCACATTTGAGCAATGATGAAATTTGGCTCTTAGCCCTGTCAGGTATCATGGAAGTCTGTGGTATCAGCCACTTCAAACCACAAAATTACCTTTCAGTTGTAATGTGAGAATATCAGCATTAGAATCAAAATAATCATACATCCTACTGAGAGCATCCCATACACAATAAAAAATGTCCCCAAACACCCCTTCTGCTCATTTTTCCATAGAGATCCCCGACTCTTTGCTGTGTAGACTCCAGAGTCTTAATTTATTGTGGCTGGTTTAGCAGCAAAGTGAGCGGGAAATAAGGCAGAGAGTGGGGAATACCAACTTGGGTGAGCAGTGGGGCAGGGACCGAGGGAAGCCAGGCTCCTTGGGTGGGTCTCCAGGTGACGGTCATTCTTCCACCAGCCTCACAAGGGCCATTCAGGGTGTTTCCTTCTTACTCTAAGCAGAGTTTGACTCTGGATAGAAACTAAAACAGGTTGAACTGACCAAATGAGCGTTATAACTAAAGGAAACATGAATCGAATGCGTGTAAGATTTCCAAAGAGGGAAGACACTGTCACAGAAAGACAGTTTTCCTTCCACCTTGTAATTCAGAAAAGAGGGTTCAGAGTGGGTGTAAGATGAGACCCCAAAGTCGAAGTTGACAAGGTGGTTTTGGGCACTCACCTGGCTCTGCTTCTATTTCCCGTTCCAGCTCCAAGAGCCCTGAACCTCCGGTACCCTCAGGCTACCCAAAGCCCCTTAGTTACTCTCAGCCTTTAGGATTTACCTCTGGGGCCCCATCCTCTCACTCATTCTTCCCTCCCAGGCTTCACCTGTAGAACTGCCCCCTCCCTTATGATTGTTCGCAGCTGGAAGAGTAGGCTCAGGGGAGAAGCACCAGTTCATCTGGCTTAGGCTAAGGCAAGGGACAACCGCTTTTCCTCACTGAGGACCCCTCAAGTCACTTTCCCCACACATAATGTTGACCAATCCAATGGGCATAATTCTGGGACATGTGGCTTTTCCTGCCACCAAGATCCAACACTTTTTAGGCACTTGCCCCTCTTGTCCCACTCGCTGAAAATGTGAGTTTTTCAGTTGGTGTAAATAGAAACGTGGCTGTCTGCCAGGATTTACTGGGTGTCATTACTCGTGTTGACATCGATTTGTGAAAAAAGAGCCTAGGTGGCCTGGTGTGTGGTTTGTGATGTGTGTGTGTGTGTGTGTGTGTGTGTGTGTGTGTGTATACACACACACACACATATGCTATGAGATAGTCAGTTGGTCCATCAGGCACGGCCACAAGAAGAGACAAAGAAGGCTGGGCACAGTGACTCATGCCTGTAATCCCAGCACTTTGCAAGGCCAAGGTGGGTGGATCACCTGAGATCAGGAGTTCAAGACCAGCCTGACCAATATGGTGAAACCCCAACTCTACTAAAAATATATATACAAAAGTTAGCTGAGTGTGGTGGCATGTGCCTGTAGTCCCGGCTACTTGAGAAGCTGAGGTAGGATAACTGCTTGAACCTGGGAGGCAGAGGTTGCAGTGAGCCGAGATTGCACCATTGCACCCCAGCCTGGGCAACAGAGACTCCATCTCAAAATAAAAACACAAAAAATAAAAATAAAAAAAGAAGAGACAAAGGAGAGGTTCAGGAAAATGGTGTATTCCACTCGCAGGTCCTAGAGAGATGGCGTCACTGCACACCAAGAGGAGCGTCACATGGGAGGCAGCACTGGGGGAGCGGTCTCAGCCAGGCAGACAGGGAGAGAGGACCCACGGGCTCGCTCACGGGGGCCAGGGTGGAATATACGAACAAGAGGTGCAGGGGCATCCATCAGGGCATCTGAATGTTACTGGGTCTCAGTCAGGGGAGGGCAGAGAGCAGAACCTGTGGCAGGGGCTAAACATACCACGCTGGGGCTCACCTGGGAGGGATGTGTGAAACTTACAATGCAGTGCACAGGGGCATCTGTCTGCATCTCACCTCAGCAGAGGAGTGGCTGTAGGTACCTCCCTGTAATCCAGGTGTGAATTTCAGTCTTGGTTTAGGTCGTCTGAATAATTAGCACAAATGTAGTCAATTGTCCCTTACTGTAGGTAGAGGAATTTTCTTTCTTTCTTTCTTTCTTTCTTTCTCTTTCTTTCTTTCTTTCTTTCTTTTCTTTCTTTCTTTCTTTTTCTTTCTTTCTTCTTTCTTTCTTTCTCTCTCTCTTTCTTTCTTCTTTTCTTTCATTCTCTCTCTTTCTCTCTTTCCCTTTCTTTCTTTCTTTCTCTCTCTTTCCTTCCTTCCTTCCTTCCTTTCCTTCTTCCTTCCTTCCTTCCTTTCTTTCTTTCTTTCTCTTTCTTTCTCTTTCTTTCTCTTTCTTTTCTTTCTCTTTCTTTCTCTTTCTTTCTCTTTCTTTCTTTCTTTCTTTCTTTCTTTCTTTCTTTCTTTCTTTCTTCTTTCCTTTCTTTCTAGATGGAGTTTCGCTCTTGTCGGCCAGACTGGAGTGCAATGGCACGATCTCACCTCACGGCAACCTCCGCCTCACGGGTTCAAGCCATTCTCCTGCGTCAGTCTCCCAAGTAGCTGGAATTACAGGCATGCTCCACCATGCCCAGCTATTTTTGTATTTTTAGTAGAGACGGGGTTTCTCCATGTTGGCCAGACTAACTCCCGACCTCAGGTGATCCGCCCACCTCGGTCTCCCAAAGCACTGGGATTACAGGCATGAGCCATGGAGCCTGACCACTGTCAGTGAATTTATAGGTAGGACTTACAGGGATTTGCAAACCAAGTGAGGATACTAGCAGGGAGAAAGTAGGGCCTCGGGACCCAGGGATGAGGAAACTTTCTGTACTGACATGGGAGCTGACCTTCGCCCTGTGGGCTGGGGCCTCCGCCACACAGCTGCACAAGCTTCAGCCTGAAACTCTCCCCGACACTGCCCTAAGCAGACCACTTGTGAGGGAGGGAGCATGGAATGAAAAGCCCACAGGGAACAAGAAGCCACAAGATCCAGTGCTCTGAAGCCATTCTAGATGGTTTCAGGGGGACTAGCTTCCCACCTCTGACAGTGACACCATGGCAAGTACCACAATTTGCCTAGAATTATAATTCTTTGTGCACAATGCATCCCATTCAAAGGCAGTCCACAGCACGGTGTGTTCCCTCTCTGAACTGGTCTCACCCCCTTAAATGTGCATTCATCCATTTACTTATTTACCGAGATGGAGTTTCACTCTTGTTGCCCGGGTTGGAGTGCAATGTTGTGATCTAGGCTCACTGCAACCTCCCTCTTGTGGGTTCAAGTGACTCTCCTGCCTCAGCCTCCCAAGTAGCTGGGATTACAGGCATACACCATGCCCAGCTAATTTTGTGTTTTTAGTAGAGATGGGTTTTCTTCATGTTGGTCAGGCTGGTGTCAAACTCCCAACCTCAGGTGATTTGCCCACCTCGGCCTCCCAAAGTGTTGGGATTACAGGCGTGAGCCACCACACTCTGCCAAACCTGCCTTTTTATCTAGGAATTTCTCTCTCTCTCTCTATCTCAATCTCTCTCTCTCTCAATCTCTCTCTCTCTCTCTCTCTCTCTGACAGAATCTCGCTCCATTGCTCAGGCTGGAGTGCAATGGTGCCATCTTGGCTCTCTGCAACCTCCACCTCCCGGGTTCAAGCAATTCTCGTGCCTCACCCTCCCAAGTAGCTGGGATTATAGGTATATGCCACCATGCCTGGCTAATTTTTGTATTTTTTGTAGAGATGAAGTTTTACCACGTTGGCCAGGCTGGTCTCAAACTCTTGACCTCAAGTGATCTGCCCACCTCAGCCTCCCAAAGTGCTGGGATTACAGGTGCGAGCCACCACGCCCAGCCTATGTCTAGGAGTCTCTTGATGAGCACTGGTCAACAGAAAGAAGTTTCTTCTAAAAATTGTTAATGCTTCTAAAGACTACTCATGGTCTGAGTCATAAAACATTTTTTGCCTTTCAATTTATATCTTCCAAGTGAATGATAATTATTGAGGATTATCTAATTATTGTCTACTTTTCTCTCTAGGTATAAAAAAAAAAAACCCTACACACACAAAAATGGTTTTTCTACCAGAAATGGATTCACTTGTCTGGCAAAAGGACACAGATTAGATTATTCTCATCACAAGGCCCCTTAGGCTTATGAATTGAAAAATAAAAAATGAATGAAAACATAAATCACAGTTCAAATTATTAAGTAATAACTGAAACGAATTAGAACAAAACCATAAGCCTTAACAATACTCTAATCATGGTTAAATTAATTTAGACAGAAAAGCAAAAAGCAATTGACTTGAAAACAAGAAGTGAGGCCCAAAGTGGATACAAGAAAGTCAGGAGAGCTAAGATAAATCCCAAATCCAATATTCATCCATGCCTACTCAGCCAGTACAACCTGATGGCTTTAATTTTGTGGTTAGGGAAATGTAAAAGCGAAACCGCTAATACCAAAGCGCTAAATGTGCACTGTTGGCTGAATTTATGGTGTGGTAGCGGGTGGTAAAAACTAGGCTTCTAAGAAAGGGTGGAACTCTGCCCTCCAGGCACAGAGTAAATGACCCCAGCAGATGGAAATCTAAAGCAAATGTAGTCACCTACATCTTGCAAATAGATGTGTTTCTGAAAATTTGTTTGAATTGGTTCTTTGTGAATAAAACAGGATTTTGAATGCATTCAGGAAATTTGTCAATTTTTTTTTTTTTTTTGATGGAGTTTCGCTTTGTCTCCTAGGCTGGAGTGCAGTGGCACAATCTCAGCTAGGCACAACCTCTGTCTCCTGAGTTCAAGCAATTCTCCTGCCTCAGCTTCATGAGTAGCTGGGATTACAGGTGTGTGCCACCAGGCCCAGCTAATTTTTTTGTATTTTTAGTAGGATGGGGTTTTGCCATGTTGGCCAGGCTGGTCTTGAACTCCCAACCTCAAGTGATCTGCCCTCCTCGGCCTCCCGAAGTACTGGGATTGCAGGTGTGAGCCACTGAGCACAGCCCAGCTTGTCTATTTTTAAAGGAACCTGCCATCTCAAAATTGAATACAAACTATAGAGAGAATCCAGACTTTCAAATATTCTGTTTGGTAACTGAAGGGCACAAACAGTAGAGGCAGGAAGCTACTCTCAGGGTCTTCAACTTGCTCCACTATCACTGCCTATCCACCAAAGACTCTCAGAGAAGTTAAGATTTTCTAGGATATGAGATATGTTCAAACCAAAATAAACACAAAGATAAACCTTTAATGACAAATTTTTATTTTATTAGGAAGTTTAGAAAGTAGCTATTGACAAATAAGAATACAAGATAGAAAAGAAACAGAGAAAGGCACACAAATGGGGATAAAATGATTATATACGTCGAAAAGTCTGTTGGGAATCATGATCTTCTTTGACTGAGCTCAGTGATGTGGACTCTTCATGAAGAGGTAGGCTGTCCTCATGCCTTTGGTTGGCTGCTTGATATTAGAGAGGAAACTTTTCATAAAGGAAGACTGGAAACACCTGAAGCAGAAAATACAAGAACGCAGAATTCAGGAGCAAAGTTACACAAGAGCATAAGTGCAAGAATACCCAGAGGACAGGTAAAGCAGGTGAATGGGGTGAAGGAAAGTCCCCAGCATATCCTGCCACAGGACAGAGACCGGGGCCCGCCTAGCAGCAGCATTGCTTCTGGCAGCAGCACTTTTGCCGGCAGCATCCCTTCTGCTGGCAACAACCCTTCCCACAGCCGCAGCCACACGAGCTGCAGGTGCGGCGGCAGCAGCAGATCACGGGCGTGCTACAGCAGCCCCCACAGCAGCCGCGGCAGCAGGGGCAGCAGCTGGAGCAGCAGCCCACCCGGTAACACCTGCAGGTGGTGCAGCTGCCACAGCCACCACAGCCACCACCACAGCCACCACTGCAGCCACCACTGCAGCCACCACAACCACAGCAACCCATGGTGTCAGTAGAGAGGTCTCAGGTGAAGTGAGAAGAGGACTCAGGAGAGGTGAGTGAGATATGATGCCTCTTTCTCCTGGGGGGTCCTTATATACTAACTCTGGGGGAGAGCACTGACCTAAGACTCAGTGCCACTTCCCTGTTGTTTATGCAAATATCCAAAGCAGAATCTCACATGGCCTTTTGTACGCTTCCTTATTGGATCCTTCTGACCTCAAAAACTTGCTAAATTTAGCTTTCACTTGTATTTTAAAGCCATCTATAATATATAGAACAGTAAACACCTAACTGAAAAACCCTTTTCTTTATTTGGTGATTGTAAAAGTCAGAGTGGGATTGCAATTTCCCTCAGCTATAGTACATTTCTCCCAGCCCAGGACAAAGATTTTTTCATTCCTACATTATTTGTAACTATTTATTAATTCACAAACCTTCCTTTAGATGGAGGAGAGGACTCTGTATGTTTAAAAGGAAAGAGTGATCTCAGATTATGTTATTTTGTCCTCCCTAGGCAGAGGTCCTCAGGTGTTTGCTAGTCCTGTAACCTGAGTCAGAACTCTATGATCCAGGGAAGAGGGGATCCTGCATTATCAAGGGTTATGACACAGCATCCTTCATGTTGTACAGACGATAAAAGCACATCCTGAGCAGAACATTTCCCAGTTACTTGCCAGACTCAAGGAGGCTGTTATCAGCCTGTTAAGGAGGGAGGATAATGCTGAAAGCATGCTTCTGGCAGCCACCTGGTGCCTGGTTGATCAGGGACCAGTACCTCATGGAGTGCTTACTTGAAATGATTAGTTTCCATTGGCCATCCCTATGCAGACTACTCCTTTCTGTCAAAGGAAAGATGAAAATGAAAAATGGAATCGTGAAGGCCATCAAGGAAATCTATAGGTTCTAATCCTGCATGTCTGTTCTCAGAATACAGTGCTCTTATTGGTCAGCCCAGGCCACGCCAAGGAGAACAAGACAAGGAGAACCCAAGCATCCTCTCAGCTCCCTGCAGGACCCAGAGTTCCAGGAATTCTGATTCCCCTGCATGAAGGTAAATTGTATGTGTAAACTTGACTGGGTTAAGGGATGTCTAGATAGCTGGTAAATATTATTTGTGGATTTGTCTGTGAGGTTGTTTCTAGAAGAGGTTAGCATTTGAATCAGTAGACTGAGTAAAGAAGATCACTTTACCAACACGGTAGGCTTTGCTATGGTCTAAATGTGTTCCCCAAAAGTCACGTGTTGGAAACAATCTCAATGCAATAGTGTTGGAAGGTGGGGCTTAATGGGAGGTGTTTATGTCATGAGGCCCCTGCCCTCATGAATGAACTAATACCACTATAAAAAAGGCCTGTGAGGCTGTGTGCGGTAGCTCACACCTGTAATCCCAGCACTTTGGGAGGCCAAAGTGGGCAGATCACTTTAGGTCAGGAGTTTGAGACCAGCCTGGCCAACAGGGTAAAACCCTGTCTCTACTAAAAGTACAAAAATTAGGTGGGCATGGTGATGGGCACCTGTAATCCCAGCTAGCCTGAAGGCTGAGACAGGAGAATTGCTTGAACCCAGGAGGCAGAGGTTGCAGTGAGCCAAGATCGCACCACTGTACTCCACCCTGGGCAACAGAGCAAGACTCCATCTCAAAAAAAAAAAAAAAGACCTGTGAGAGTGAGTTCACCCTCTTCTGCTCTTCTGCCAGGTGAGGACACATAGTTTATCTCTGTCTTGCCCTTTTGCCTTCTACCATGAGAAGTTGCAGAAAGGCCTCACCAGATGCCAGTGCTTTCATCTTGGACTTCCCAGCCTCCAGAACGGTAAGAGGATAAATTTCTGTTCTTTATAAATTACCCAGTCTCAAGTATTCTGTTATAGCAACACAAAAACGGACTAAGGCAGGGATCATCCAGCCCATTGAGGACCCAAATACAACAAACAGATAAAGTGAGGGGGATTCTCTCTCCCTTCTCTTAAGCTAGAACATCCAGCTCCTGCTCTTAGACATCAGCACCCTACCTCTCAAATCTCAATCAGACTCTGATTGGTACTTACACCCTTGTTCTCAGGCCTTCCGACTTGG